CAGAGAATTATTGTGTTCTTGAGTAAGACATCTTTTGGGTGGTACAGGCCACAACTAAGAAGCATTAAGCAAAAAAGTGCAAGAAAATTTTTCATATTCTTCAAAGCTGTCTATTTCACATCTTGCCAAAAAAGATTTTAATAGTAAAATGGACTACAGGCCTTTTCAGATATTAATCCAATAGAAAATGTATGATACATTATTAAATGAGATTTACATGAGAATGGAAAATAATATTCAAAATGATCACTGGGAACTAATAAATATTGCTGTAAGTAATGTTGGCATGAATAGAGTAAAATAATGTTAGCAAAATCAATGTAAATAAAGAGAAAGGAAAGCTGCAGAATATTAAGAATATTGGCAAAAGACAAGTGAACTACGATATTTAAATAAACATCACAAAGAGAAATATGTAAGCTGCATGAAGAATTAAATAAAAACTAATTCTTAATAATGAATATAATGCTGCATTGGACAGATTTGATGGCTTGGACAGAGATTAGATCCTTAATGAAAATAGTCAACCAACACAAAAAGACTACAGGGTGTGTTGGAGTAATGTTTTGCATTAGTATTGTAGGTAATAAAATTATAGATTTCTTCAAAGTTGATGATGGTATCAAGATAAATGCAAAGAATTATTTTGTGTTTTTGGATAAGACATTTTTTGATTGGTACAGGTTACAACCAAGAATCTTTAATCTAAAAACTATATTCATACAAGACAATGCTCCTTCACATTCTGCAAAGTCGACTATTGCCAAAAAAATATTTCAATGATACCAGATTAATGAAATGCCATCATTAAGCTTCTTCAGATATCAATCCAACAGAAAACTTGTAGCCCATTATTAAAAGAGATGAATACAGGAATGGAAAACAATAGTCAAGCAAAGATCTTTGGGAAATAAAACTGCTATAAGTAATGTTAAAGTGAAAATAGTAAAAACAGCAAAATCAATGATTGAAAGAGTAATGAAGGTTATAGAATGTCAAAAAGCCTATATTAACATGTAAAATAATAAAATAATGATTTGTTTTTGTATATGTCATATTCTCTTAATCAAACATGTGTGTTTATAGCTTATATCTTTTGGATTTATTTGTAAATACAAATCTATGTTGCACTTGGTGCGTTTGCATCATAAAACCTGACAGCCACCCACCAACAAAAAAGGTGTATTAATTTTTTTTTATATACATATAAATAGGAAAAAATATGTAAATTTTTATATATTATATCAATATAAATTTATGTTGCACTTAGTTTATTTGTCTAATAAAACAATGCCTCTAAACAAGTCATCAATATTTTTAATAAGGATATATATTATTAACAAAAACTCACATGATATTTGGCACATATAAATCTAAAATCTTACATCATGTAAAATGTATCAATAAAAGTAATCAAGTAAGTATACCCACCAAACACACTTCTTCATATCAACCAATATTCAATAAACTTAAATTCATAATGCTTAAAGAATGCAAGGTCTAAATATTTGCAGGTGATGCAACCTAGTCTTACACTAACAGTTCTATACCTTTTCAACTTCAAAATGATAATAATCAACTTCAAAATGGACTTATTTTCAGGTAAAAAAAATTAATCAATTCCAAAATGGATTAATCAACTTCAAATTGGAAAACAACTTCAAAATGAGAAATAATCAACTTCAAATTGAGAATTAATATAATACTAATAAATTTAATATTTATTCTTTTATTTTTACTTAAAAGGGATATAAAGAAAATATAAACATTCCTAAGAAATTTATTTAAAAGATTACATCATCTAAGTTAATTACAGAGGGAAGTAATATCTGTATTCCAGATACGAAGTTAGTGCAAGTTTCAGGGGAAATATTAATTGCCTCAGAGATCATTGCTTCTAACTTGCTGAGGCGGAATTCTTTAGTAGTTAAAGATCCCTGGCCATCACCTCTTAAAATCCCAACAATTGAGTCTGCCATACTTCTTTTTACGTCAGCTTTAATAACTGACCAAACCTTTTCAATGGGATTCAACATTGGACTATAAGGGGGCAAGTCTGAAAATTTGGTGTTGCCTAAATTCATCCTCCTCCACAACTTCTTCAATTGAAGTATGGCAAGGAGCGTTATCAATAACTAAGACAATTCCCCTTTCATAAATTTCATTTGCCTTTCTAAGGCACTCCCTGGTCCATTCTTTCGCATCCTCTTTTTTGAAAGAACCTCTTTTAATTTTATGATGAATTAATCCATTATTACTAATACATCCCATAACATAGATGTTATTTCTCCTGGATCCGGCTGTGACTGTAGTGCACCTCGTACCTTTTTTAGAACGACCTTCTATTCTTGAAATATGGAGATTAAAATTGGTTTCATCCATATAAAGAATTGACACACTTTGGGACTGAAATTCTAATAAAGCTATTGCGTAATCCTTACGTTTCACCTTATTGACATTATTATTGGCAGCTTCTGGTTCATAATGAAACGCTTTTAAAGTAAAGGCCATGGAGTCCAAGTGCTTTCTTATGCATTCTTTCGTCACACGAACCTCATACTTTTCGACCAACTTATTTACAATGTCTTGAAGAGTGACCCGAGGAGAGTTTTCAATTAATTCGGCCATAAAATTCTTATGCTCTTGCATAATTTTATATTTTCTTGCTCCTCCCCTAGAGTCACTCTTATCAGCACCCTGGTCTAACCAATGGTACGCTGTTGGAAGAGGCACACCAATGGTTCTTGCCAGGTTTTTCCAATTTCCTGCTGCGGCATGTGCAGCTAAAATCTGGGCCTTTTTTTTCACCAGCTACAGTTTTCTTGAGGTAAGTCCTCTTTGGAGCTGTTGCTAATTCTTCTTCAGCTTCTTTTGTAGAGGTCTCTCTAGCAACGTCCTCAATCATCATTTTTGCCCACATGGGACTTTCTCCTATTTTTACTGTAGGCTCACCCAATGCTTTCTTGGCCTCTAAGTTGTTTGTATTTTGTTTTTTTTCTTCATCTATATAATGGAGATGAACAGTCAATTTCCTTACTCATGGGGTAAATTTATTGAAAAAATGATTTTCAATTTACAAAAAAATATCTCAATTGTTTATTCCAATTTGAAGTTGATTAATCCATTTTGGAGTTGATTAATTTTTTCACTTGAAAATAAGTCCATTTTGAAGTTGAAAAGGTATAGTATTGGTCATATTTGTCATCCAACTAATAAACCTAGTTTTTAATATACACTTAAATTATATAACACTTCAAGAATCAAACATAAACACTAATGCCATAAGGTATACACAGGATGTCCACACAACCAATGAAAACAAAACAAACACTAAATTTAAACAGTGATATATACATAAACAGAAAAGCTTTAAGATAGACATATGACCTTGACACAACCAATGAAATGAAACAACTTAAAATTTAAAAAGTGAAATTCACTTCTTTTATTTACTTTCTTGTTATAGATTCTCAAAATTTCATATCTGCTCAGTTTCATATCTAAACTTAAAGCAATTTTTAAAGAATTAATGGAGTTTTTTTATTAATCCAACATATTTTTATCACTTAATCATTATTTTTTGTAGATACCCATATTTGGATCAACACTCTGGTTTTACCATTTATTACCATCTACCAGCCTAAATATCCAAGAAATCTTATTAAAGAAAAATATGGTACCTCCAGCAACACCTATGTACCTGACTTGGCATAAACATTTAAAATCTAATGACAGTTTATCTTGCTAAGAGAAGGGTACATGCTTTTCCTTATTTTACTTTAAAAATTTCTGATGAAGCTAAATTCAGTAGCAAAACATCTATAAAGATTTTCCTAATTGTACTTTATTTCATCATTATGTCAGACTTAATACATAGTTTCAACTTATCAATGAAAAAAAACATTAAAAATGTACTGGAGGCTTTTTTTCTTTTAAAAAAAAAAAAAGAACAGAAGTTTTCTCATTATAAGGAATTTGTGCTGTTGAAATTCAAACCTAAAATTAGAATCAACGAACACAAGATGCTCAAATTATATATATATATATATATATATATATATATAGGGTGGTCGTCCAAAAGTAGGTGGACTGTATGTGGAATAGGTTTATGTATCGGTTATATTATTACAACTGATTATCTTGATGAAATATTTCCTGAGAAATGGGTTGGCCAAAGAGGTCCATTTGATTGGCTGGCATGTTCACCAGACTTGACCACAATGGATTTCTTCTTTTGGGGAGTACTCAAGGACAAAGTTTATAGTCGAAAACCAAGAAATGTCGGTGATTTGAAAAATTACATAAGAGATGCATTTTAAGAAATTAATAGCCAAAAAGACTTGTGCAAAAAAGTTTGTCGAAGCATTAGAGGTAGACTTCAAAGCTGTGTAAATTGTGATGGAAAATAGTTTGAGCACCTGCGATGATAAAATTTAAGGGCTTTTGTATTATTGTTCACAATAAAATTTAATTGTCAATGCAATAATTGTGTTAGTAAATATAATTGTATGTATATGTAATCTCAAAATAAATGTAATTATTTACTATCCACCTACTTTTGGACCACCCTGTGTGTGTGTGTATATATATATATATATATATATATATATATAAACACACGCAAAAAAAAAAAAGAAGAAAAAAGAGACACAGAGAGAAAAATAATCAACCTAACACTAATAATAAGAGCGTATCAATTATCATATAAATTACATCAAACTTATGAATGATTGATTTGTTTTCTACTTTTATGTCATTCCTTTGCCAGTTATTTAAAGCCAGAAAATATTTTAAGATATTTTTTATGTCTTTTGGAGATGATAATGATTTAGTGATACAAGTATTGCTATTTAACCCATAGCTGGGAGGAGAAGAGGTGTAGTCATATCTTTCCCAAGAGTGTGTATAAGTGAAAGTAACAAAATCAACTAGAACTGAAACTCTGCTATCCAATTAACAATTCTGAGCCATCATTTATTACACCACCCACAAATTCAAACTTACAGCACCTAGTATTCCCAAGCAATCACCCGTCTAGGTACTGATTAGGCTTGATGTTGCTTAACTTCAGTGATTGTATGGGAACTGGAGTTTCAATGTGATATAGCCATAAGCCCTTACATCAACTATAAAGATAATGAAAATAAAAAACAGCAGTCAGTTGTTGAAACCTCCTGAAGAATGGATTGAACAATTACACAAAAGTTCATCTAGAAATCTCTAGAGTCAAGGTGCTGAATATAACATCAATCGGTTAAGTAAAGAAATTTAATTTGTATTAATTATATATATATATAACAAAAAGATACTTTTAAGGTATGCTATATTTATGGGTTGGAGTGCTCAATATCAGGAATAGAGTGGATATAAAAGTGGATATTGAGGTCAACACTCAGAGGTGACAGTCTGTTTCATGCTTAAATGCAATCTTCATAGCCTGAAGATTGCATTTAGGTTAATACTGACTGTTGAGCTCAAAGTCTAATATATATATATATATATAATTAATGCAAATATAAAATTTGTCACTTAGCTACAGTAATTGCTTTGTCCACTCATCAGGGGATATCAGCAATTGACTATATATACATATATGTTAATAAATATACATATTTTCTTCAATGGTAGCATAACTTTTATGTACGACACAATCTTCAGATGCTGAGTTGACTGTTACATAATTTAAATATTGCTAAATATATCTAGTTATATCTGGTTATCGCAATGGCGAGGCTGTCTGTATTTTATATGAGGATTGTTATCTTTTTAAAATTTTGTGTTTAAATTAAACATAAGTAAAAACATTTACAAACCCAACATCAATAATAAAATACTTTTCATTTATGTTTTAGTCATTGCTAACAGTTATAACTTTACTACTTCTCATAAAAAACAAAAAATAATAAGCAGAAACTGATGTCTACTCAAGTACAAAAGTGTATGTACTCACAGATACAAAATAGCTGTTATAAAAACATGATTTATTGGGCAAAAATAATCTTTTCTTTGGACACATTATTCTATAAGGAAATAAGCAACATTAAACAAACTCTAATCAATGATAACTTTCCTAATAATGTTGTAGATGAACAAATAAAATTAGCCTTAATGGAATTTATAAAAATAACATGTCACCCTGATCAAACAAGAATAAACAGACCATTAACTTATTTTATTGTAACTAGATGCACCCCAATTATAAACTGGACGAAAAAACAACTAAAAATATAATTTGCTGATACATATTGCTTAATGATCCAAATAAACACCTGAGATTTATCCTCTGCTATAAAAAGTTTAAAACATCTAATTATTACCCTCGACACATGACCCCATAAATTCCCTCTGTGTAAAAATAATGTTTCTGAATTCTCATGCTCTCAGGGACAGTGCATCTACACCATTAATCACAACACAGCATTAAATTCTTACACTGGGAAGACATGCACCACACTCTCATGAAGGTTGACTAGACACCTGTCAAAACTTGGTACAATTTGTGTACATATCAACTAGTACATGGCGAACAACCAAACTACAACAACCATCAACATAAGACAAGTAAAAAGACCGACATTGTCAGTTCTATTTAATCAAATTTGTCAATGAATACTTGCTGCTTACATATACCTTCTAACACACACACATTTTTTTTTTATGTGTATCACCACTGGAAATAAAAATAACAGCACTATATTATGTCTAGTTACTTAATTTCCTTCAAGACATCTCTTTGAATTTTCTTTTCCATTCTCTCAGAAATTAACCATTTTCTGCCAGTCCTTAATTTATTCTCAACACAGTGAGTCTTGTTGTATTTCTTGATAATGCTACAAATTGTCATTTTAAGAACATTTAAACACTTGGAAAGTGTTGTATATCCATCACCTTCTTTGTATGCTTCTTGTCAAGTTCAGCCGTCTTTGCCATGGTTGCAGAACAAAAGAGTTATTGCAGTATATGGCACTCACATATCTTCTTCATAACCTTTTAGAATGTTATAGAACCAGGTCAATACTATTTTCAAAGGGTGTTTGTATTAAATGTCAAATTAAGAAAAAAAACATTACAATTGCCATAGATCAATTTCATTTCGTAATTTCCTTGAGGGAGGTGGCAAATAATTCTAAAAATAACTTTTAAAAATTTCACAAATTATCCAAAACTAAATACACAATTAACTATTTATGATAATTTCAGTAAGTACTTGCAAATATTCAGTGGGGGCAAATTATTCTGCCCACAACTATATTTAACAGTTATAATTTCTTTACGCACAAGGTTTTACTTAATTTTTCAAGAAATGTTAATATTTAAAATATGACAAAACTAGCAGACATCTTGTCTTTTAAAGTAGCATATCTGTATATAGTGGATATACAATTGTAAATTCAGTAATGGCATTAATTAAGAAAAAATTTGTGAGAAGAATCAGTTAATGATAGTGTATTGTGGAATAATGGAAAATTGCAGTTAACAGTAAAATTCTAACAATCAATGAACAGTTTGTCTTGTAGGGATTTAATAAAATTTAATCAATTTCGCCAATATTACCATAGGAATAACTGTTTATGCAATTTGCTGTCTTCATATTAAAATAAAATATCACTGCTAAGTTAGATTTTAAATCACACTTTCTGCTAAGACAATTTTTTTTTTGTTCATCATTCAAATGCACTTTAACAGGTAAAATGAAAAAAAATTCGAAAGAGTTACCCCCCTTGATTTTCGGAGCTTAACCTTTTCCACAGAGGAAAAAAAGTTTGATTCTTGGCTTTATACAATTATGATAATCTGTTAGTTTCACTTTTAGCTGACAAGAGTTAGCTTCCCTGACATTTTCTGGATATTAACTCCAAGACAAGAATTCCTCTTAAAAGGAAAATCAAGGGAGAATGTCCTCCTTCCTCTATTTGCTGTCTCTTCAAGATGTGGGTGATCATGGCCTTCCACAATTTCCTGTCCCTTAGTAAAGTTTGGCCTTTTGCTGCTTTTCTCTGTCTCTCTTACCTTAAATGTGCCCTGTTAGTGTCAAATTTTCTAATCACTCTTTCCTCATTTTATGCTCTAAACATTTAAACAGTCTCTCTCTGATGTTAAGTGTCCATTTTGTTTCCATTTTCTCTAAAACTTTGTCATTGCTCACATGTTCCATCCATGGTATTCTTCTTCAGAATCACATTTCTGTTGCCTCAAATTGCCTTTATGTATAAAATTGTCCAGCATTCACTGCTATATAGGACCAATATTACATAACAGTTCAGTAAACCTTTCTTTGTTTTCAACAAAATTTTAGGAAACTCAAATATTTTTTTCATTCCAAAATAAAATCTTTACTTAAAGCTTTTAAATAAGACTTCTCTAATAAATTGCAATTTGCAGCTTAAAGTGTAAAATCATCTTGGATAATTTCTAATTAAAGTAACTGTTAGATGATCTCATAGAGCCTGCTACTAGCCTATCATTAAACGTAATCGGTATTTTAAAAGAAACTTTCTGAGTATAGTTCAAGGCAACACAATAATTTATATTATTGAAACATTTTAAACATTTTTTTTGTATACAGGGCATATCAAAAATAGTTTTACAAACTTTGGGGGTGGGTTCTTCACACCAAAACAAGGACAAACTGTGAAACCATTTGACACTGTGTGAGAGTATCTGAAAGGGTCTAGCAGTCAATGATCCGATGGGTGTATGTGTGTGTAGAAGCAAGCGGAGGATATTTTGAACATATGAGTTGCTGTGTTGAGGTACAATGATGGCCTTTTTGACATATGTTTCTATGGATATTTTACCTTGTTTTAGTGTCAGGAAACTGCCCACCAAAGTTTGTAAAAGTATTTTTGGATTGGATCTTGGATTGTACATTTAACACTGTAAAATTTACTGCAAACTTTAAACTCAAAAATAAAGGATTTGCAGACATGTTTATATGGAATTTTGTCCTTGTTTTGGTGTGAGGAACCTGCCACCAAAGTTTGTAAAAATATTTTTGATACATCATATATATATATATATATATATATGAATGAATGAAGAAATGTAGTTTTAAGGTGTGCTATATTTATGGGATAAAGTGCTCAATAGAGAGAGAGCATATGTAAATATAAAAGGCCTGATGATTGTGTCTAGTATGAAACAGTCTGTCAACTGAGTGTTGACTTCAATGTTGACTTTATATATATATATATTGAACAATAAAAAATATATTAAAAAATTAAAATCTTCAGACACACTGGGTTGTAGATTAATATTCTTTTGTTTTTTATTATTTCATTAAAATGCAATTTTTTCTAACCAAGTTGATCTCATATTCCAGATTTAACTTGTGAATTTTTTTATTTTTAATCTTTCTAACAGTGAAATGTCAGATCCTTCATTTTTTTTTCTTAGAGATATATCATATAGGTCAACTTAACCAGGTCTGATGAAGATAACTCCACAACAGCAATCATTTTTGTATGTGTTTTTCAATTCAGCTCACATCACATATGCTAAAATACAGCCTATGGGGTTTATCCAAAATATTAAATTACCTACCTCTACACTACGGATTTATTCAAATAGGCATGACTTGTATTAGCCAGCAACAAAATCATCCCAAGCTGATAATTTTCAAGAGTTCTTTTGTATTAGTTAAATTAGTTTCACACATGCAAATGTTCCACTTCAAAAAGGTCAAATGTGAAGAGTCAGGAGAGAGGTAACACACGCCCACACAAAATGTCAAACTTAAAAAAAAAAAACAGCTAAAGGAGTGTACTATTGATAAAGCATGTGGATTATGAAAACCACACATTTTTTTTTCTTTTCTTAAAATTGAAAAAAAAAACAAAACAAAAAAAAAACATATGAATTAACAAAAAATAATTCTCTTGGTACTCACCAAGAGAATTATTTTTTGTTAATTTGTATGTTATTTTTTTTTGTTTTTTTCGTTTGTTTTTTTTTTTTTTGTGAGAATATAGAGAATAAAAAAGAAAAAAGGAAAGGTGAAAAAAGTCAGAAAAAAAGGGTTCATGGAAAAAAGAAATAAAAAAAGAAAAAAAAGGAAGTTGTGGGGCAGGGGGTTGGAAAAGTGAGGCCAATCTCACACACAAAGCAAGAAA